AAAAAAAACCACCTAAGTTCTAACGGATCAAAAGAATATGTGTTTTAGAGAAGTTTAAAGGTCTGCTTAAGAGTTTACACTATACCCTACAGATCCGTGGTTTCACATGAAAATAGAACCATTTTCTTAAACACAAAACTATGTATTGACTACACAAAGCAAAGAGCTGTTGTTTAAAGACAAAAAGGGGATCCTGGAGCCCTACTCCCAGCAGACCTGTGACGTAGACACAATCGTGGGCTTTCGTGGAGGCTATGGACTCATGCTGCCTATGGTGCCCCGCAACTGGTTCTGGAATTCATCTCTGCATATAATAACGTGTGGTGTGTGTTGTTTCATTTTTGTTTTTGTTTTTTTGAGATGAGGTCTCACTATGTTGCCCAGGCTGGTCTCAAATTTGTGAGCTCAGTGCTGGCCAAATAGCTCAACAGATTAAAGCGCCTGCAAGCAGTTGCAGGGGCCAGGGGTTCAATCCCTGGGCCTGCTGTGCCAGCCCCACCCCTGAGGCATGCTGAGATGGCAATCGAGACTGGACGTGGTGGTGTGCGCCTGTGATCTCAGCTCTTTGGAGACTGTAATAGGCAAATTACTATGAATCCAAACTAGTACTGAGACCCTGAACACCCTGTAGACCCTTCTTCCCTAAAATACAAAAAAAAAAAAAAAAAAAAAAAAATTGTGGGCTCATGTTAAATATCTCTCTTGAGAGGACACACCAGTGACCTGCCATCGCACACACTCCTGTAAGGCATGGCAGACCATTCTGTGAATGCAAGCAGGCTGGCTCGCTCCAGCCCTCCCCTGGTGAACAGGGATGCACAAAGGAGCTTTTCTCAAAAATGTTTTGTTTAAGCACAAGGTCCTGAGTTTGAACCCTAGGACAAAAAAAAAAAAAAAAATTGCTATTAAGTGTGAAATGGGAGAGACACACACAGAAAGACAGACAGAGAAAGATAAAAGGAGAAAGGGGGAGAGAGAGAGAGGAGAGAGAGAGAATAAAGTTTTTTGGGTTTTTTTGTTTTTGTTTCTTTTTTAATAAAGCTAGCATGGCAGTTCACCCTTGTAATCCCACTACTTCGAAGAATGAGGCATGACGATCGCTGTGAGCTCATGGCCATCCTGAGCTACATAGTGAGTTCAAAGTCAGCCCGAAAGACATGGAGACCTTGTCTCCAAACAGAACAAAAACGAGATTAAAATAAAAGAAAATCACTGTCTTCTGGTGACAGGAAACAGTCAAGGACATGAAGCAGGTCCCTTATATGATGATATGTGTGTCGTTTCATTTTTGGTTTTGCTTTTTGAGATGAGGTCTCACTATGTTGCCCACGCTGGTCTCCAAGTTGTGGGCTCCTAAAACAGAAGCCCCTCCCTCCACCTCCCAAGTAGCTGAACAGCACGTGCTCAATACGCCAAGCTGGAATTTATGCTGAGAACACTGGCTTCCACAAGGACAATTTTCCTTGCAGGAAGTGGACAGGAGTGGAACAGTTGTCAGGAAGGGGACCCAGCAAGGTGGATGAAGGAGGGCTGCAGTGGGCCATGGTGCAAGGGACAACGCTGGGGAGGTGGTAACGGCTTTGCCCCTGCACCGTGCATCCTCCTACCCCCATCTTACGCGTCACCTGCTCCAAGGGCCAGAGAGAAGGATGGAAGGGGGTGTTGGCCCACCATTGCGAGTCCAGATGACCTACACTTGGGGCCCCTGCTTGCAGAAAAGTCCTGTTGTAGCCAGTGAACTGCTGGCTGGAGACCCCCAGGCTCCTCAAAGGGGTCTATGGGGCGGCAGACTTCCCCATCCCACTCCTTGCCTCCTTGGGGTTAGTCATTTATTGAGTTGCCTTTTGAACCCACTGAGGTTGAGTACCCTTGGTTTTGCATTGCACGGGAAGGGGGCTGGCCAGGGGAGGGTGGGAAGAGCCGAGCTGGGCGGTGGGAACAGGTGCAGGGGCAGCTGTGAGTGAAAGGTATGAAAACAGGCACCATGTCTTCCTCTGCGGTTAGTGGTAAACAACCTGAGCCCTGGGGCGACGAAGGTGGGAGGTGATGGAGAGGCAGGAGGGCGGGGAGGCGGGAACTTCCGGAGGTACCGCAGGCCCGCCCCCTCCGAGCAGAACTGACTCCCTCTCTCCCCTTAGCCTGGTCTCCCTCCCTTCCTCTGCCTCTCTCTCTCTCTCTGTTTCTGAGCTTTCTGCTTCCTGTCTCCCTGGCTTGGGGAATCTGCAAGGGATGGGAAGTGGTCATGGGTGCTGCGTGTGCTGCCCTCCCGAAAGCCTTTAGAGGAATCTCAGGCAGGGCTGCTCAGTGGAGGGAGTGTTGGCTCTGGAGGAGGGGGAGAGTGGTCTTTAGTGATCTTTAGTAAGACAAGCCAGAAAGGGTGCTGTTCTATCCCTTGAGCTTCTTGCATGGATCACAGCAGGTGAGAGGCCATGACCACCACAACGTCAGCATTAGTGACCCCAGTGAGGAATAGGGGACAAGTTAAGAGGAAGCTTTCAGGCCATGTCCGCACCCACCTGCCCTTCTCTGCAGCAGGTCCCTAGGTTTCAGTGATTGCTGCTCTGTTCACAATTAGAGCAGATAACCTTCATCCCAACCAGCCCCAGTCCCCAAGCCTGCAGTCTTCCATACCTGGGGACACATAAACACATGCGCAGCCGGCCTGTTTGCAAGCTCAACCTCAACCCCACCATCCATCTCCTTTCATCCTCACTGCTGCCCTGTGAAGGATTAATGCCTTTTACAGAGCAAAAGCTGAAGGCCCAGGCTGGGATGTAGCACACGATCCTAGCATGTGTGATGCCCTGGGTTTGATCCCCAGCACCCCAGAGAAAGAGGAAAAAGAAAACTGGAAAAAACAAAATGATTTATTCAAGGGAATACCAAGGAAATTTGGCATATGGTGAGTGGGACGTACTGGAATGCAGTTAGCCTAGTGAGACAGAAAAATCTAGATGAAAGGTAGGGTTTCTGGAGGAGAAGACAGCCAGGGTCCACAGTTCTCACACTCTTGCCTTCTGCCCTGGCAGTACAAAGAACTGGCGAACTACACTGACAGCACGGAGAGCCCTTTCCTGGAGAACTACTTGTGCTCCACAGCCGAGGGACCCCTTCTGAGCTCCTTCAAGGCCGTGTTCATGCCAGTGGCCTACAGCTTCATCTTCCTCCTGGGCATGATGGGCAACATCCTGGTGCTGGTGGTGTTGGAGCGGCACCGGCAGACGCGTAGCTCCACCGAGACCTTCCTGTTCCACTTGGCGGTGGCTGACCTCCTGCTGGTCTTCATCCTGCCGTTTGCCGTGGCTGAGGGTTCAGTGGGCTGGGTCCTGGGCACCTTCCTCTGCAAAACTGTGATTGCTCTGCACAAGATCAACTTCTACTGCAGCAGCCTGCTCCTGGCCTGCATCGCTGTGGACCGCTATCTGGCCATCGTCCACGCCGTCCATGCCTACCGCCACCGCCGCCTCCTCTCCATCCACATCACCTGTGCAGCCATCTGGCTGGCGGGCTTCCTCTTTGCATTGCCAGAGATTCTCTTCGCCAAGGTCAGCCAACCCCATCACAACGATTCCCTGCCACGTTGTACCTTCTCCCAAGAGAACCAAGCCGAAACCAAAGCCTGGTTCACCTCCCGCTTCCTCTACCACGTTGGGGGCTTCTTGCTGCCTATGCTGGTGATGGGCTGGTGCTATGTAGGGGTGGTGCACAGACTTTGCCAGGCCCAGCGACGCCCTCAAAGGCAGAAGGCGGTCAGGGTGGCCATCCTGGTGACCAGCATCTTCTTTCTCTGCTGGTCACCCTACCATATCGTCATCTTCCTGGACACCCTGGCAAGGCTGAAGGCTGTGGACAACAGCTGTGAGCTGAATGGCTATCTCCCTGTGGCTATCACCATGTGTGAGTTCCTGGGTCTGGCTCACTGCTGCCTCAATCCCATGCTGTACACCTTCGCTGGCGTGAAGTTTCGCAGTGACCTATCTCGGCTTCTGACCAAGCTGGGCTGTGCCGGCCCTGCCTCCCTGTGCCAGCTCCTCCCCAGCTGGCGCAAGAGCAGTCTCTCTGAGTCAGAGAATGCCACCTCCCTCACCACCTTCTAGGCCCCAGCACTCCCCTTTGTTTCTGCTTCCCTTGGGACATTCAGGAATGCTGGAACCTCTTCCAACAGGAGCTGGCATCCTAAGAGCCATGCAGGTCAGTGTCCCAGTAGCAGCAAGATGAAGCAGCCCTCCTTGAGGATGTCCCTGCAGCTCTTCTACCACCCCTGGGGCTGGGCCAAAGCCCAAGGAGGAGAAAGCATCCGAAAGGCAAAGGCTGTCTGTACCCGTCTACATCCCCCTGAGCTAAGAGGACCCCGCACACCTTCTCCTGTCCTCACCAGCCAAAGCCCAAGAACCATTTCTACTTTAAGCCTGGCCAAGAAGGCAAGTCAGTCCCCTCCCAGAATGTCCTCCTCCACCATCTCAGGGCTGCTCAGTCACAGCCACTCACCTCACTTCTGGGATCATTTGCTGAACAAAGCCAGGAGAAGCTGGACGCAGAGGATGAGTCCAGGTTAAGGCTGAGTGAGGGATGGCCAGCTGGCAGCAGCGTGGCCTTCATGTCTCAGGCCCTTACGCTCAGACATTCTGCCAGGACAGCAGCCCTTCAGCTGTCTGGAGTGGGAAGGCTGAATTGCTTCTCCTTAAGTAGCTGCCCTGGCTGTGAGCAACACAGCCCTGGTTCAACCCCATGTCACTGGGTCCTGGCCTACAGACTGGAACAGACTCCAGGTGCCTACAGAAGGCAGCAAGAGCCCTAGTCGGGAACTGAGGGAGAGCCAGGAAAGAAATCTAGTGGAGGAATGGAAAACCTCCTTCCCCTGTCCCCAAAGGGGACAATATAAATCAAAACCAGCTTCTACCTCTGCCCAGGGACCACCAGATGGAAGTGGGTGGAAAGCTCCCCAGGATGGACATGAAGAGAGAGGATCCAGGGCCCTGGCAGATTCTGAGTACTGATGGGGAAGAAGGTAGCCTTGGCTCCCTTCCACGATCTACAGGCCCTCTAAAACTAGAACAGCAGAGGGCTTCAGGCCGCAGCAGAAGATGCACTTAGCTAAAAGTCAGAATGGAGCAGAGGGGAGAAAGACAGACTAAAGGAGGCCTCTGGAAGTCATCTCATCCAGCGCCCCACCCCCAGGTTACCGTAGGTAGGGTAGTGTGAAAGCCAGTCCTGGTCAGGGAAGTCCCCAGACCCCGGAAAGCTGCCCTGGCCCTGAGAGGATACCACTCAGATGGAACCAGAGGAAGCTGCTCCGTGCTTAGGGAGGCCTGTCAGGCACTTCCGGGCTCTCCTTCCCCCTCTCAACTTAGACTGAGGTGGGAGTCACCCCACCACACACACACACACACACACACACACACACACACACCACCTGCTGAGGGCCTATCTGGGTTCCTAGTCCTCAGCAACCTCCCTGGAGGGCCCCTACCGGAAAATCAGGGCTGTGACCCAGAAGGCTGCGTCCTTACCGTGCAATGATGGGGAAGCCCTGTGGTCCCCTTTATGCTCCAGGCATTTTAATAGCAAGCTGGATAGTAGAGGAACCAGACACAGAAGCAAAACAGCGACAGGCTGGATTTTGAATTTTCTTTTTAATAAAAAGGCACCTATAAAACAGGTCAATACAGTACAGGCAGCACAGAGACCCCCGGAACAAGCCTAAAAATTGTTTCAAAATAAAAACCAAGAAGATGTCTTCACATAATTGTATTTATATATTTATATTTATATATATATATTTATATAATGGTACAAAATGGCTGGGGATATGGCCACAGATGGAGGAGAAAGGCTGGCCAGCAGAGCTCACCTGGTAGCGAGTGGCGGAGGTGGGAGCAGAGGGGACCAGGAGGCGGTGGGTCCCTTGCGGTCTAAGCCCTCTCCTGGGGCTGGAAACACTTAAGAGTAAGACAGTTCGGGCAGTCTTGGGACAGGGGTGAGGCTCAGGGCCCCAGCAGAGGCAGGCAGGATGCCTGGCAGGATGGAAGGCAAGTGCTCCCCCAGCAGAGACGCAGGCCATAGCCCCGGGAGACACTGGGGCCATCAGGAGCCAACAGCCAGCCTGAGAGGAGGAAGTGGCGCTTGACCTAGCTGGCGGTGGACTAAGAGGTCAGCACCAGACTGGGAGAAGTGGGCACGATTCCCTTTTATTACAGCTGCCAAGGTGAGACCAGGCCCTGCAGGTCAGGAAGGCTGGGGACAGGCTTCAGGAGAAGACACCCTGTTCTAGAATGGCCCTTTGGCTGGGCAGGTGGGACGCAAGGGGGTTCCGGCCAGAGAACTGCCCCACCACCTCATGGGGCAGGAAAGGAAGTGAGAAAAAGAGAAGTTTCTTACTCCTAGGGCCAATGGAGTCAAAACACCCAGTCCCTTATGGCTTCAGCTCTGACCAGTGGGGGATGAGGCTCTCTCCTGGGAAGGTAGGAGGGGACTGAGGGGGAGCATAGGCTGCGCCTGGGTGAGCACTGACAGATGGCACACAGCCCTGAGCCCTGGGCAGAAGGACTGAGCCAGGGAATGGGTAGGCAGGGGTGGGGGGGCAGTCCCAGCCCCTCCTCCACTCCATCCTGAGGGTTAGAGGCTGGAGGAAAAGTGGCTGAGCCCCATTCAGATTCCCTGGCCATTACCTGGCCCAGAGCCAGGGCAGCCACAGGCTCCAGTACCACCAAGCCCTCCCTGGCTCCACTCAAGGGGCCACAGATGCTGCCCTGTCCTCTTTTCCTGCATCCCAAACTGGAGACAAAGGGCTTCAAGTTCTGGCTAAGACGTAGCAGCAGGGGCACCCAGACCTCTACAGCGGGAAGCCACCACCCTGTGTGACTGGTGTGGTGAACATGCACACACGTTCTCCACGAGTCACTCAGCAACAGACAGACTGCTGCCCTGGGGATGTCGCAGCCCTACTGGGGCTCACAGATGGAAGCCTTAGTGGTCTGACCTCAGTTTAGGTGTGGGGTACCTATGTCATCTTACCACTTGGAGAGGGGACAGAAATGGTGTCCTTTATGGACCCAGAGACACTGTACAGTAGGTGGGTGTGTAAGACTGCATGTCTCTGGGTCCAGGGAAATGAAGGGGGCAATCACTTGAAGAGGGGGAAGGGTTTCTTTTATCCTTTTTATGACTTCTATCAAAACACAGAAATACAGCACACACACAAACCAGCACAAAAGCGCAGCGCTCTATTTACAGCTCTGGCTGGCACCTGCCCACCTGGCCAGCCGCCTGCAAGGGGTATTAGGAGAGGGGGTCAGCCTCGTCAGCAGTGAGAGGGAATGAGGCAGGAAAAAACACAAGGGAAGACGGGTAGGAGCAGAGGAACGAGAGGAGAAAAGGAGCTCGGCGCTTGACAATGAGACAGCAGCAGGAACAGGGGACACCCTTTCTCCCCCAAGGACCCAACACAGCTGAGAAGGGGAGGGGCTGCAAAGAAAGGGAAAGCAGAGTCTCCATAGGAATTAGGAAGGCAGGGAAGGGGCATCCTGGTGGCCAAAATGGAACAAACCCCAATCCGGAACCCCCCCACCCCACTCTGCCACCTCCCCCTAAGATGCCAGCACATCTGGTTTCCACAAATGCCACTTCCCACACCAGCCCCTCCCACCCCCTCCAACCCACCCCTGGACCCAGGCCATCCCAACACTGGAGGGAAGAAACTCTTAAGGTTAGCATATGTGCAACAGTGCCCCGCTTGAGCCCCCACAGGGGCTCCTAAAAGGGCAGGTTGGCCATGCTGCCCGGCGCCGGGAGGTAGCCCATCTGGCTGTCCAGAGACACGCTGCGCTGCCGCAGCGGGTGGGACACCATCAGGTTCTGCTGGGGTGGGGGGCCCATGAGTGAGCCCTGTGGGGAGAGCATGTGGGGGGGCTGGCTGTAGACCTCGCCCCCCACACTGCGCTGTTTCATGAGCATGAAATTCTGCTGGGTCATGAGGCCTTGTGGTGGGGACATGACCCCCTGGTGCAGGCCGTGGGGCACCATGCCCTGCTGTGGGGGCACACCTGTCCTGCCCAGCAAGGACATCTGTCCGGGGTGGCACATGGACATGTTGAGCCCCCGCTGGACGCCCTGCTGGCCTGGCAGGTTGGGGGGCCGAGAGGGGGTCTGCTCCGCCATCATGTTCTGTAGGTTCATGAGATGCAGATTGGGGGGCTGGGCCTTGGGGGGCTGGTTCTCGCTCTTGGGGAAGTACTGGAGGGTGCTGCTTGGCTTCTCAGAGGGGATGATCCTTGACAAGTCAAACTCAGGGATCCCGGTCGGGGTAGGTCGGATCACCTCGCTGAGCTCTGGGTCGTTCAGCACTGATGCCACCCCGGGGAGCACCCCCGGCGGGTATGCGTCACCCATGCGCCCAGCCATGCCTTTGCCCATCAGGTGCTGCTGGGGGGGCATGGGGCCTGGTGGCTGGCTGGGCATGTCCTCTGGGGGAAGGGGTATGCCTGAAGGGTAGTGCTGCTGCATGCCAGGGCCCCCACCACCACCCCCAGCAGGGGCCATGGCACTATGGGGCTGCTGTAGCCGAGGGGGGAAGGGCACCATCTGGGAGGAGCTGGGCACAGGGCCGCAGGGGGCATTCAGGGGGTCTGGGCCCCCTGGAGCCAACAGCATGGAGTTCTGAGGGGGCCCCCCTGCCCCCTGTGCACTGGGGTGTAGTGGAATGTTGGAGCCCAGGGGGGTGGGGGAGGGCAGCATGGTAGGTGGGGGCTCATGGGACAGGGGCTGCTGGCCTGGCAGGTTCATGCCTATGGGGCTCTGGGCAGCCGCGGAGTTCAGGTGCATCTGGTTGGGCTGGTTGTTGCTGATACCTGAGAAGAGAAGACAGGGGAGTCAGGCACTGTGGGCTTCTGGCTAGGGGACGTGGGGGCCCAGTTCCTCCCTACCCCCCAGTCAGGTGGTGGTGCCAGGGCACCCACTCTCACCACTACCCCCTTTGGCTCTCATGGCAGGGTCCCAAGGCCCCTGAGCTGGAAGCCCAGAGAGAGTCCACGTCATGGCCTTTGCTACGGATGTGTGAGAGGCCCTGTAAAGCCCATTCAAGTGCTCTGGCTGCATTTTACTAAATGACTGCAAAAGTAGGAATAGGTCCTGGGCCTCACACCCCTGTGGAAGCATGGAACGGCCAGCGTGACCACAGGGCAGCCGCTACCCATGCACACCCCTTCCCATTTCTAGTGCCCCCTGCCTGTCCTCATACCTGGCCCAGAGCCCTGCGGTGGTGGCGGGGGTGCTAGCAGGGGCCGATCGGGCAGCAGCTCGTCGTCTGAGGTGGCAATGGTCTTGATGGCATTGTGGTAGAGTGGGGTGGAGCTAGGCATGGCGTACTTGGACATCTGGGACATCATCAGTGACAGGGGGTTCTGGGAAGGCGTGGGGTCCGGGGAGGAAGTGAATGGCAGACTGGGGTTCATGAGACCACTGGGAGGGTTGGCAGGAGGCACTGAGGAGCTGCTCCGGGGGCCACTGGGTTGAAGGGCACCTACAGAAACCAGGGAGACGGCAGGGTGGTGACTACAGAGAAAAAGTTTAGCTGCTCATACTGGGAAGAGGTCAGCCCTGAAGATCTCCAACGGACGCCTCCAGAAACACCCATAGCCCTTGCCCCCACGTTCACCGCACCCTTCCCATCTTCAAGCAATTCCTGCTGTCTCAGGCCCCAGGCAGAGAAGAGATCTCAAGTTGCAAGTGGGGACCTGCAATCCTACACACCCACCTACCTCATACCCCTAAAAAAAAGCCCAACACAGCTGCCTCCACCTGCCTCAGTGTGGCCCACCCACGAGGCACCCATCACAGGCCCAGCACCCACATGCCCACCCAGCTGACTCACCCTGCTCCATGTTGCCCAGGGTAGAGGAAGAGTTCATGTTGAGAGGCGGCTGCTTATTCTGGGAGACCCCTGGGCTGGGCATGGCTGTCTTGGGTGAGGCAACCCAGCCTGGAGAAGGCACCGCCATGGAGGGAGACTTGAGCCTGCTGGGTGAGCCAGTGGGTGAGCGGACATTGAGAGAGGAGCTGAGAACCTGGGGTGACTTGAGAGGTCCTGAAGGGTTGGCAGAAGGCAAGGGCACCATCTGCGAGGGAGTCTGGGGCGACTTGAGGTTGGCAGAGGGCGAGGTGACCAGGGGTGAGTGCACCTGGCTAAGGGTGGGCGACTTCAGGTGCCCCATGCCTGGCGAACCCATCTGATTAATACTGATGGTGAGGTCTGAGGGCCGCCTGCCCAGCCCCCGGCTGGGGGCTGAATGCACAGACCCGGGAGGATTAGGTGCAGCTGGCAAAGGCATGTGGCTAAGCCGGGTGGTGCCCACAGTACCCATAGGCATTGAGCCCTGGTCAGGGCTGAACATGTCTTGGGCATTGCCCATATCCTGAGGCATGGCTTGGTAGGGTCCCTGTCCCCCAGAGAATCCCTGCTGGCCCTGGTTGGGAAACTGCGAAGGCATAAGCATCTTCTGTGGGCCGCCCATCATGCCGCTGCTGTTCTGGGCCCGAACTCGGGCCATCTCCTCAGGGCTGAGGCCCTGGGGTCCCATCATGTCTCCAGGGCCCCGCATCTTCTGCGACATCAGCATCTGCTGCTGCGGAGTCATCTGTACATTCAGGTTCATGTTCATATTCATGTTCACATTCATGTTCATGTTGAGGTTGCCTGGCCCCATGGGGGGCTCCACCTCCCTCAGCCCAGACTGCCCCATGGGAGGGCTCAGGAGGGCCCGGCCACCACCGAACTCCATGCCCATTGGAGTGCCTGCCAGGCCTTCGCCACCAGCCATCTGCCCGGGGAACATGGTGGGATCCATCTGCCGGTGAGCCTGCATCATCCGCTCCATCTCCATGCTCTGCCCCATGCCACCGCCGGCCATGCCCAGGGGGCGCTGCATGCCCATAGATCGCTTCTCCAGCAGCTGGTGTCGTAGCAGCTCCTCCCGGACCCGAGGGGTTATAAATCGCTCTGCCTCACCCTGCCCACCTGGGTAGGGCACGGCATTCTGGGCAAAATTGCCAGGCCCCCCCATGGGAGGCAAGTCTTCCGTCCAGCCCATGCCTGGCCTCACAGGCCTCTGCATGGCATTCATGGGCACCTCCATTGGCATACTCTGCATACCCCCAAACCCGGGCACCCGTTGCATCTGGTTGCCTGGGAACCGGGGGCCAGGGAAAGGAGGTCCACCGCGGAGCTGCATGGGATCTTGGACATCCATGGCCCCTCGCAGCTGCGCACCCATTCCAGGGGGCCACTGATCCCCAGGCTTGCTATGATAGGGAGGCGGGGGCCCCCTCACCATCATGCCACCCATGCCCATCATGTCCTGCAGAGGTCGACCCCCATGCAGCCCAATCTGCTCCTCCTTCCGGCGCTTCTCCTCGTAGTACTCTTCCTGCAGCTTGCGCCAGGCCACCTGCTCGGGCGTCAGGCTGTCCTGGCCCAGTCTTTGCATCATCATGTTCATCTGCTGCCCCATGTCCCCACCTGGGGGGTGCCCAGGCACGTCATGCTCCAGCGGGGATCCCCCGAGGCTCTGTGTCTGCGAAATCATGGACTGCAAGGGCTCCTCGTACTTCTTCAGCCCACTGGGGGGGCCAGTGGGGGGCTGCTGAGGGGCAGGAGGAGCTTGTGCTGGAGGGCCGCCCTCGCCTGTGCCTGCAGGGGGCCCCTTGAGGAAAGGCTCGGTCTCCCCGCCTCGGAGCAGCAGCCGCTCAATGTCTCGCAGTGTCTGCAGGGAACGCTCCCGATGCTCCAGCTGCTCTTTGGACAGGCCCTCAGAGCCCACCAGGCCGCGCTGCCCATTTCCTGTGGGGGTGGCCTCCCCCAGCAGTGCGGGGCCAGGAGCACTGCTAGGGTCCCCTCCAGGAGGCAGGGGGTTGTTAGTAGTGGCAGCTGTTGGGGTGTTAGGGTGGGTACCCCCAGTCCCACCACCCGTGCTGGCAGCGCCCACCGAGTTGGGGGCCAGGTCCTGACTGGTGTCCTCAGGAGGCCCCTCCGGGGGTAGTGCAGGGGGGGCACTGCCAGGGGCAGAGGGCGGTGGCGGTGGCAGTGGAGGTGGCTGGGACTGCGGGGTGCCTGCTGATGGTGTGCTCAAGGGTAGCGGTTCTGGGGTGGGTGGCACTTTGGGAGCCTGCAGGAACACAAAGGCAGAGCATGAAACTGCGAAGGGACGTTCCAACCCACCTGACAGCCAACGGGCCATCCGACTCACCTGGTCCAGCTTGGCCCGGGGCACGTTCTGCTGGTGGTAGGCGAGGATGGAGTCTGCCCGACCCTGCAGCACTGCATCCGCAGCTCTGCACCAGAGTGTCGGGCATGGACAGTCAGAGAGGTGGGCAGAGAGGAGCCCCGGCCTCACTGGCCCCACCCTATGCCCTGCTCCTCCTATTCACTCCCAAGGGGCACTGGGCAGACAGGCACTTACGTGTTGGCCAGGTGGGTAGTGAAGACATACACGAACTGCGAGGGAGGCTTTCCAGGGACACCCCCGGCCCCGGCCCCAGGGCCATCAGGCCGAAGGCCTGGTGGGGGCCCATGTGGAGGACCTGGTGCGCTGCTCTCACTGAGGGGCAGCTGGGCAGTTTGGCTGGGACCCAGCTGTGGGGCCGCCATAGCCGGATCTGCTACATTACAATCTGCAGAAAGAGAAAGAACAGGGAAACAGGGTGAGCGACCCAGACGCAAGAGGATCAGCGGCGCCTTGGCCTAGAGATGCCCACCGCCTTGGAGGCAGTGCCCACAGGCCAACTGTGGCTGCAGTCTGAGGTGTACACCGCTCTTGTTTATATACTGAGCTTCCCCTGCCTGGTCTTTGCCCAGAATGGTAAGAGTGGTGGCCGGTAGAGAGGACAGCACCAAAAGTGTGGCCTCACTACAGCTCCCAGGTGCCCGATGTGTCACAAGATATTTACAGCTGTGAGCTCTCAACAATCAACATAGAAGACTTCTTGGAGTTTGCTGGTTTTTTTTAGTCAGTCTCACTACACTGTTCAAGCTGACCTTGAACTCACTTTGTAGCCCAGGCTGGCCTCAAACTCACAGCACTCTTCCTGCCTGAGTCTCCCAGAGTGCTGGGACTAGATGCGCACCAGCATGCCCAGGGTTTTGTCCTGTTTTGTTTCGCTTTTCCAGTACTAGGATCTGAACCCAAGGTCTTCACATTAAGCTACACCCCCAGTCCCTTTTTTTATTTTGAAACAAAATCTTGTTAAGTTATAAGTTGGGGCTGGTGGGATGGCTCAGTGGTCTAAAGCACCTACTTAGAACAAGCTTAACAAAGCACAGGGACTGCGGTTCAATCCCCCAGCACCACATGCCAGCCAGCCCCGCCCCCTGGTGGGCTGAGCTGGCCACACACACACACACACACACACGCACATAAAATAAATAAATAAAATTAAAAAAAAAATTATAAGTTGCCGGCGGCTGGAGAGATGGCTCAGTGGTCTAAAGCACCTACTTGGAACAAGCTTGGCAAAGCACAGGGACCGCAGTTCGATCCCCCAGCACCACATGCCAGCCAGCCCCGCCCCTGGTGGGCTGAGCTGGCCACACACACACACACACACACACATAAATAAATAAATGTTAAAAAAAAAAAAAAGCAATTTAAAAAAAAAAAATTATAAGTTGCCCAGACCAGACTCAAATTTATAATTCTCCGATCTCATTCTCTCTGAGTGCTGGGGTTACATGTGTTACCCTACTAACACATGTCTGTGATCTGTGGCCACCAAGAAGTGTGTGTGGATTTCTCCCTGCCAGCAACCAATCTTCCATAGCAGAGACCACCAGTTGAGCAGCCTCCAATTTAACTGTGACGTTATCTATTGGAGAAAGTGCCTGATCTCACAGGTTAAGGACGGAGGCCCAATCACTACTGCCACCTCTAATGAGGATCACAGCCCCAGATTGTTTTATCTGTGAATGATTTGTAAATCGGGACTCCAAGGACCCGCTCCTCAGATACTACTCACTTGCTAGAACAGCTCACAGAACCCAGAAAATCCTGTCAATTACCAGCTTACCATAAAGGATCTTACAAACAGCAACAGAGAAGAGATACAGAGAGACAGGCAAGTGGGAAGGAGTTGGGGGCTTCTGCACCCTCTCTGGGTACCCTGCCCTCCTACTCTCCACACATTTGACTATTTAGAAACTTCTCAAAGCCAATCTTTTGGGTTTTTTTTTGTGGGGGGTTGTTTGTTTTGCTTTGTTTTGTTTTTTGAGATGTCATTAGGTATTACTGACTAAATCACTGGCCACACATAATCCATTGAACCTTAGCCTTTCTCCCTTCCCCAGAGGTTAGAGGTGAGGCAAGACCAAAAGTCCCAGCCCTGTATTCCTGCCTTGCTCTTTTCAGGAACCAGTCCCCATCCAGAAGTTCCGTAAGAGCTGCCAACCACCGTCAACACATTAGCATACAAGACACTTATCACTTTGAAGATTCCAAGGATTTTAGGAGTTGAATGCCAGGAAATAGGACAAAACCAAATATATATTTCACAATATCCCCAGCTGACATACTGGGAACACTCCCAGAATAGACCAGCCACCTTCCGCACAAAGAGAAGGTTTGTTCCACGGTCACAGGCTTGACTCTCACACAGTCTTAGCCCAGAAAAGATCCATAGCTGGTCACCAATGAGTCTAGGCCAGTGGGCCGATCCACTCCCATACCAAGAAGTACAAGTCCAAGAGGCTGGCAGGCAGACAGGAACAGCACCTCGGGTAATATGAGACACTGCCTAAGCAGGCCCAGCAACAGGCTCCTTTGGAAAAGCCTGGCTGGCGGCCCCACAATGGCCCTGTCAGAAAAGCAGAGCCAGAAGTTTGGGGGGAAAGTGAACTCAATGTATGGGACTGCCTGGAAGAGGGAGGTGTAAGCTTGGTATGCAACAGGCTTCTGGGGACAGGCCACAGGGAGGGAAGCAGGGGTTAATACAGTAAGGAACCTTCCTGGGCAATAATACAAGCTTACTTACTCCTCTACCAACCCTGGGAGATAAAGATTTTCTTTTTTTTTTTTTTCTTTTTTTTTTTAAATATTGATTTATTTTTATTACATTTATTTACTGTGTGTGTGTGTGGCCAGCTCAGCCCACCAGGGGGCGGGTCTGGCTGGCATGTGGTGCTGGGGATCGAACCGCGGTCCCTGTGCTTTGCCAAGCTTGTTTCAAGTAGGTGCTTTAGACCACTGAGCCATCTCTCCAGCCCCGATAAAGATTTTCTTACAGAAGAAGAAACTGAAGTCCTTTCCCCAGTTTATGCAAATAATAAGGGGAGTCCCTAGGATGCAAATCCAGGCCGACTGGTCTCTGAGGATAGGCCACCAAGGTCTATGCTATCCTGCCCCTTCATTAAGAGCTCTTCAGGAATGCATTGGCCCTTCAGCTAAAAGTCACACTTGTGGGTATGGGAGCTTCACAATGTCTTCTTCATACCTTACTGTGTCCTCCGAGTGTCCTACAGTGGCGCAGTCTCAATGTTGTAAAAGTGAATTTGGGGTGGCAAGGTGGGGTGGGCAATCCTGATCCAGGAAGCAGTTCCCCCACTGGAATTTTCTGCCAAAAAACCTTTTTGGACCACCTGTGGACCACTGTTCAGTAGCGTCAGGGAAAGGGGGACCTGGCACCAGATGGCCCTTGATGTCCCGGCCAGCTGTAAAAGCCTTCTGCATGTGTGACCCTGCCCAGCATTTGCTGACTGCTTCTTCCATTGTAACAGACATCATAAGCCAGGGATCTAGCTCAATGGCACAGCGCCTATCTGGCAAGTGCAAGGTCCTGAGTTCAATTCCCAAATAAATAAATACCAAATAAATAAATAAGACTTGTAACAGGCATTGTAATACGCACTCCTGGGGCTATTACAAAGATTCAATAGAGCAGGGCCGGGGAGATGGCTCAGTGGAATAAGCACTTCCCTGGCAAACGCAAGGGCCTGAGTTCAATCCTTGGTTCCGAAAAAATAATAAAATAAAATAAAATTCAATAGAGCATAATCGGCTTTTTTTCCTCTTTTTGCCTTCATAAAACTCATAAAGTTTAACATTCTCTAGTTTCTTCCTATGCATTCAAGTTGTCTCTCTCTCTCCCAAAACAAATGTAAGCTATACCTGAGAAACGTGCCATGCATAAGCTTTTACTAAAAACATCAAATAAATGCGTACAAGCTTCAAGGGCAAAAGTCATACCTGGCTCTCTACCACCACTCATAGAAGGCCCAGATACTTAAAGATCACTTAAAAAATAAGCAGAGAGGGCCGGGGAGATAGCTCAGTGGCATAAGCGCAAAAAAAAAAAAAAAAAAAAAAAAAGAAAGCAGAGCAGTACTGGGAGTCCACGGGAGGTTAGGAAGAGCACCACGGACAAGGCCAAGTGTCAGCTCACACCCAGCTGAGTAGATTACGCTTTGCTTTGCACCCCAGAGCCAATCTCAGCTCAGAGGCTGGACTTTCACCGCCCTCCTGAGGCTGACCAGTAGGTGGCAGCATAGGCCAGGAATTCGTGGTAGAGGTGTAGGTGAGGTGGCCAGGAAAGGGGCTACCTGAGAGAACCTCTCTCCAGCTAAGTTCCCAGCGAAAAATGGGCACTGAGCACCTAGAATGCAGGGACCAGGTTGTCACAGTACAAAGGACAGACTGAGGTGAGAGGTGAGAAGGAACCTGGGCTCCCAGCACTTGCCACTTCTGGCTCAGCCCTCTGAAGCCCAGGTGAAGAGCAGAGGGCATCCTCAAGGGACCAACTCCCCAGGGCACCATAGGCCTCCATGTCCTCCTCGCATCAATGGGTAGTACTCACTGTGGGTGGCCCCAATGGGCTTGTCCTCCTCCTCGCTGTCGGGTCCGGAGCACCATTCGTCCCCACTGTACGGCTGCTTCCGCTCCAGCACACAACGCCGCTTACTCCGGGGTGCCACCTCTGCCCAGGCAGGATGCAGGCAAGAGTAAGAGTGTGAGCTCCCACAGGCCCTGTCCTCCTGAACCATGGGTCCCTTCTCCAAGTGCCTCACCCAAGACCACGGTGGGTACTTCACCACTCCTTGGCCCCCACTATACCACCATTTGTTTCTGATTTTTCTCTTCAGCCCTGGCTGCCTGTCTCCCCTTCCCTGCCCCCCCAACACCAAGCACAGCATAATCCCCAACCACAACTGGTTCTAATTAGGGCTTGGGGGGAGGGGGAACCGCTGTGTCTCTTCAGGCCCCAGCCCGTTCCCAAAAGGCTCCCCCTAACCCCAAACTAGGAGACCAGGAGCTCCAGGAGGTGTGTGCATCTTCTCCTCACCCCAGGGCACCTCCTCCCTCCTGCTCTGGAGCTGTGGTAGGATGGCAGAGGGACAGTGAATCAGGAAATCCCATCTCTCTGTGTGGCCCTGGCCCTTCATGGGTGGCAGGAGGCTAAGAGAAAGGTGTAGTGCTTATATGCTGGAGGAGTAAAGAGGGCAGGGACCTCAGACTGCAGAAGATGTTACGATCTTGGGAATAAGAAAATGGGGTACCTTTGGCCTCCGAATCCAGGGATGGGGTCCCAGCCTCCCGCTGCTCTCCAGAGTCCACGGACACGCTCCGCTCCCTCTTCACCTTGCCCTTGAGGGAGCTGAAGGGGGGCACCCCTGTCTGGGGGTTCTTCAGACTTGAGTTGCTAGGTGAGATCTGGTTGGCCTTGGCCCCATGGCTCCCCGCCCCCACGCCCTTGGAGCCCAGGTTGCAGGTGGGTCCTTGGTTCACATTCTGGTGCTGGGATTGGGCCCCGCCATTCCCTGTCTTGCCATGATTGGTCAATTTATTTTCTGGGTGCATTGGCTTGGCTGGGGCAGGGGGGCAGTGGCCGCGGGGTGACAGCGGCGGACTCCCTGGAGCTTCTCTCCTCCTGGGGTGGGGTAACCTGGGAGAAGGTACAAGACAAAAAGTTAATCCTTCGAGGGGCTGTGCAGGCCCGGACTTTAACCACTCACCTGTCTCACCTAGTGGGGGGAGTGCTGCTGCCATTTCGAGACCATTTGCTATTCCCTATTGGACAAGACTAAATGCTCTCTGACACCTGGGGGGTTGAGATGGGGCACCTTCCCCTGTGCCCCCATCCCAATTCAAACCAAAACCACGGTCTTGAGTTAACAGAGTCCTCCCACTTCTAGGCCCCAATATCCATCAAACTGCAAGATTCCTTGGCAATCCCTTTCCTCTAGCACCTGACAGGTACTTAAGCACCTTCTTTTTCTTCAAGGGTTTGCTTCCTTAGGACTTTCAAGGTCCCAAACCTCAATTCCCATGTGTCCCCACATCATCGGAGAAGGGCCACTGGACAGTGAGTCACTGCTTATGCCCGGCCTCATTCCCCAGGGAACGTGAGGAAATGCATAGCTGAGAATGACACCCACTGGTCCCCATAGCTCCCCAGAGCCAGAGGGGCAGGCCGGAGAAGGGTGGGCCGGCAGGCCGGAGGCAGGCAGGAGCAGGAGGGGGAGGGGAGCGGCGTGTCAGGCCGGCTGGAGTGTCGCTCCAAGCTAAGGATTCCTGCAGCCTCGGCTGCGGGCCCTTTAAGCTCCAGCCCGCTTCCCCCACTGCCTCCCCCTCCCCGGAGACCTATTAATAGCCGCTGGAAAGATCACATCACGGGAGAGGATATTTATCCCCCCTCATTCCACACCAGCTCAGATTTATTTCAGCTCTGCTGTCCTGCTGCTGCCGCCTGGCCCTGTCTGCCGGCTTCTCTCGGGGAGGCGGAGGGAAGCAGGCACCCCCCTCCATACATACACACAGACACACAGACACACAGACACACAGACACAGACACACACACACACACACACACGCCCCAGCTCCCACCTTCAGCTAGTCCGAGGCCAGAGGGCGCCATCGGACCCCACTGTGGGGGGAAGGGGGGGGTCCTGCCCTACCGTTTTAAGAGGGAAGAGCTAGAAAGGAAAAGGGGCAGTAGCAGCCCACGCTGACTGCCAGTTCCCTCTGCCTCCTTGCCCAAGCACTACTACGGCTAGTGGTGGTCCTGCCTGGGCCGGGCATTCCCACCGTAGCATTCAGCAAGGTGGTCTGGGAGCCAGGTGCCTGGGGAGGGACTCGTTCTCCAAGCCAGCACCGCTTGGCCCATCACCGCCGGGCCCTTCCCTTCCCCGCTCTCAAACACACGTCCCGCCCTCCACGACACCCACACACCTTGTCTTGTTAGCCAGGATCCTCATGGCTCCCACACACAGTGGGGCTACGGCCCCTGTGCGTGCCCCGGGCCCAGCCAGGTACTCGGTACTGGAGCACGGACTGCAGCAACAAGCCCCAAAAAGAAAACTTGTGACTTGGGGAGGGGGAGGGAGAAGGGAAGCCCCAACAGCCTTGCAACTAATGGACTGTAAAGGGTAGGATGGGACTGAAAAGGGACGACTGGGAGATGGGGTCTCGATCCCCTTAGCCAGTCTAATCCCCATGCCTCCCGCACCTTGCCCTCGGGGAGCTTGCAATCTGCAGCAAGCCCCTCCCCGACCCCCAGGGGCTGCAGACGCAGAGGTCACTAATAGGCTGGGCCGCGGAGGTGCCGCGTGGGGCGCTCAGGCCCGGGGCTACTCGGGCTCCTGACACGCCCCTCACCCAGGGCTCGGGAATCCCTCTCGCCCCGCCCCACGCAGGGCCCTGCCCCAGGGCGCTCCAGCCGCGAGGCTGCCGGGGTGGGGGCCCTGGCCCGCCCCGCCCCCAGCTCCAGGCCTAGCCCGTGCCCATCCCAGCAGGCCCGGGCGGGCAGCGAGAGGCCTGGCGGGGCCCCGGGGCTGCAGCTGGGCTCTTCTGGAGACCAGTAACGCTGGCTCAGATTCCTCCCAGACCGCAAGAATGCAGGAGCCTCCCCTCCCCCCGCGCTGCACCCCACCCCGCCCCCCTCGGCAGAGCCGGAGCAAGAGGCAGCACGAGCGAGCGAGCTAGCAGCGACAGAGTCTGCGAGGCGGCGAGCGAGGAGCGAGGCCGGCAGGGCTGCAGCGTGGCTTCCGGGCCCGCGTGCAGGGCAGACACGTCGGGCAGGGGCTCGACGGCTCCCGGGTGCCGACGGGCCAGGGCGCAGAGACCCACAAGTACCCGCACCTTGACACACACAGCTCACACGTGGACAGGGAGACAAAAGACACGCGGGGCGCCCAGGAAGCTAGAGGCGACCTGGAGGGGTGCGGAGCCCTGGGGCCCTTCGGGTGGAGCTGGAGCGGGTGTGAAGCAGAAGAGAAGACGGAGGCCGGGCCATGAGGGAGCCATAGAAAGTTGATGAGCCTGACAGTCACAAAGAAACCACTCCGGGGTGTAGGTGCGCCGACAGACAAACTTACACAAACACAGACGCCTCGCCCAACACCCTAGGCTCACCCCCCCTACCCCAGCAGCCGATCCTGGTAAAAGGTAGAGGGGTGGAGGGAAAGGAAAGAGTACCGGGCCCAGGAGCCCTGTCTGGTGACAAACCAGGCCAGACACACCTGGAGGCTACACTAGGGCCTCAAGGTGAGGGAGCCCCACCTGGCACCCCGTGGGAGTCTAAGCCTAACCTAACCCCGGAGCACTAGGCCTTTCCTACTGCAGCCTGTCTTGGGGAAGGAAGGCTGCTCAAGGAAGGTTCCAAAGTCCATGCCTGGCTCGCTGCCCCCACCTCCTGCATCACAATCAGGAAATAGCAAGGAAGGAGGCAGGGACACCCAGGCTTAGAAATGAGCCAGTGCCCGTCACCTTCACACCCTGGCTGATTCTCAAAACTACCCCCATTTCACTATGAGGAAACTGAGGTCTGGAGAAAGGAAGTGATGCACCCTTAGGTCACTTGACAGATGTGGGAGTGTCAGGACACCCACTCCAGGCACTGCAGAGACATACGGGAGCCTATGCCAGATAGGTGGGCTTCTGTTTCAGCTGATGCTGGGAAGGTGCACGACAGGGCAAAGGCCCCTGTCCTGTTTCCAACCTCAAAAGTTGAGGACCTAGCCAGGCCTGGGGGCTCATACTCTATAATCCCGGCACTCAGGAGGCTGAGGCAGGAGTTAACTGCAAATAAAAGCAAGATGCTCAGTATAAATGCCCTGGGTTCAAACCCTGGTGGGTGGAGTGGGGGGGGGAGCTATCATAATTTGGAAAGGGTGCTAGAAAGTTCATCCAGTTAGTGTCCCCAGTAAGGCCAAGGCTTCTCAGAAGAATCTTAAAAGAGTTCTTTCCCATCTAGAACTCCACCCCCTGCTCCCACCCAGCCGCAGGGCGCAGGGCAAGCTGAGTCAAGCATGGATGAGTCAGGACTTTCCCATCTCACACCTCCCCCCTGCCCCTCAGGAGTCCCCAGCTCCCAAAGACCCCTCCTACTCTACACTCAGTCCCAGGAGACACCTGGGCAGTCTGGTCTGGCCGTGGGAGGAAGGAGGGCTGCTGTGTGCCCTGGTAGTTTTTAATCCTGATGAAGGGGCCTTCCCAGCACCAGGCCAGCAGCCCCTGCGATGGAAGGATGGGCCTGGAACTCTGGGAACACGGTGCTCTTAGGAGGTGGGGAGGAGAGAGCTGGTGTGTACTCACACACAGGGAGCAGGTGCGAGTCACCAGAATGAAAGGCCAGGACCGTGCCCAAGAGAATGTGCCCTGAGGCAAGGTGGCTGAGGCAAAGAGCCTGAGATCATTTTCCCCCTGCTGTGTAACACAGCGACGACGGGGAGCCCAAGCCTACTGAAGCAGCCCACAGGTTAAGGGGCGCTTGGCCTAGGCTGGAAGTGACAGACAGGAAGGCAGTGCCCACAGCCTCCAGTCAGATGCACCAGCTCTGCCCCTCCCCCCCGCCGGCTGTCACAGGTAGGGCAGACATTCCCAGGCCTGTTTCCAAGTTGGGAGCCTCTGCTTGGTTGACCATCTTGGTTGACCATGTGTCTAACTGCACTGCTCAAACCCACCCCAGAGTGGCATATAGCTCATTGGTAGAGTGCTTGCCCTTGAGAGAGGCCCTTTCCCACAACTGAAAAAACAACAACAAAAACCTGTAAAAGTTTTGGGGCTGGAGAGATCGCTCAGTGGACTAAGCACCTGCTTCGGTAAGCATAGGGACAGGGGTTCCATCCCTGGTCCCACATGCCACACCGGCCCTGCCCTTGGGCGCACTGAGCAGGTGACCAAGTCCAGGCACGGTGGGTTTGTAATCCCAGCACTGGGGAGGCTGAAAACAGGAGGATCATTATGAGTCCAGAGCTGTGTAGTGAGACCCTGTACCAAATACATAAAAATGGAGGGGAAAAAGTGTTTTGGAAATCAATAGTGCCCATAATCCCAGCACTTGAGAAGGTTGAAGTACTAACAAGTTCAAATCCAGTCTGGGCAACTTAGCAAGATCCTATCTCAAAAAAGGGGCGGGGGGAGCGAGGCTAGGGATGTAGCTGAGTGCAAAAACGCGGGTTTAACCGCCAATATTGCAAAAGCGCTTGCAGTGAGCAGGTCCCTGGCCCCTCTAGCAGAGGAAGAAGGCAGCTAGGACTCCTTGTGTCCCCAGTAAGGGACAGGGTCCTACTGGAGACAACAGAGATGAGATACTTGGCCTCTGACTCAGAAAGGTACAGTCCCTGAGAAAACAGTTGAGAGTCCCCTTTCTCCTGGGTGTCAGGCCCCTAGTCCTTGGATGTTTTTCTCTACCGAGCAGGTCACTTCCTCTTCCTGAGATGGTGATTCTGCCAACCAGTGAGGTCCAGGACTCCTCACCCAGCAGGAAATCTGCTCAGGGACAAAGGTGTTGTTTGGGACCCTCAATGTGGGGACTTCCCCTGCCTGGGTTCCTAGCAGCTAGCAGCTCTCCTCACCTACCCCCACCCCCTGCCAAAGGACAACATGCAAATCAACCATCTTTGCTTGGGAGGTTTTGCCTGGGAGTTTCCAACCCTGCCCCACCTGTAGCCTCAGGGTAAGGTCAGGCCAGGCCAATCCCATGGGACAGAGAAATTCTCCTTCCTAGACTCTCAGAGTACAGATCTCTAAAGGACCAGGTCTGGATGGAGGTGAGGGAGGCCGTCCTTTCTCGCCCACGATCCTTCTGGAGCCTGTGAGCACTAGTGGCATTGCCTGGACAGACCTGGGGTCACCTCACTTCTCTTGGCTTCTTCAGCCAGGATGAGCATGGCCAGCCCTTGGGAAATAATCATGCTCTGGCAGTAGGGTGCCCCCAAAGATTGCTGCCCAATCCCTGGCTGCTCCCTCCCCCATTGGGGAGGGCTGAGGTGGAGGTGGGGGGCACAAGGAAACAAGACAGGGCAGGAAGCCCAGGCAGGCGGCGGGCACTCTGGGCCAGGCACAAACAGCCAACACAGGAAACCACAGCCCACCCCCGCCCACCCCACCCACCCAAGGCTCTGGGAGAAAGGAGTGCCAAAAGCCTGGTACCCCAACAGAAGCCAGGGCTAGGGGTTAGCCCGGGGCAAGGGAGGGAGGAGCTTGAAACTCTCCAGCCCTCTCTGAGCACCAGACACCACCTGGGGAGGGGGAGAAGGAAGCCTGGCTGGCAACGATGGTGCTGCCTCTTTAAATCCACCGAAATCCTGACCTAGGCCCAACCCAGCTCTGGTTTCACAGGAAGGAAAAGGCGCTCAGGAGCCAGTAGGGCAGGCGGTGGTGGCTGGAATTAGCCCCACCAGCCCAAATATATCTGGTCTCCGCCTGCCACCCCACTGGCACTTCCTGCCCCCTGGCACCTGCACCCAAGTGGGGGTGGGAGAGGGTCTAGGTGCTCCATGTATTCTGCGGAACACCCCTTTCTTCCTGTCACTGCATGCACGTGGGTAGGCGGTGACTTCCCAAGCCTGCTTCCAGTATACAGGGATGAGGGCAGTGCCCTGTGGGCCATCACCTGGCCTTGGTCCTCCAAGGGGTTAATCTGGCCCCGGTTTAGGGGGGTAGGGGTGGCCAGTGGCCGAGGAACCTCCTTCAAACTGCCTGGCTGCTGGGAACAATGGGACCATTGTGGGAGGAGTGGATTCGGGCAGGCCGCTGGCACAGGCGGGCGGGCGGGACCTCACCCAATGCCTGCCCTCCGTCTGCCTGCCTGCCTGCACACTCAGCTCTCTCCCAGGTATGGCCAGAGGCAGGCACATCCTTCCACTCTCCTCGCCTCGTCTGCCTGGCCCAAACGCTTGGCACCAGCAGTAACTGGGGGCCATGGCGCTCTGCCCACAACGACATCCAGACTGCCATGGCCCTCCAGGAAGCAGGGGCATGTGGGCCAGGACAGGGTGGGGGTGATGAGACAGGATGTATGCCTGTGATCCTCCTGCAGGGGAGACAGGAAGGCCAAATGGGGTTTCTGGTGTCAGTCTTGGCACTCTCAGACAAGGAGGGCTTAGGGGACTGAGGGCAGTGACAGCAGGGTCCCCTGCCTGCAGGTCCTTTTCACACTGGTCCAGTGACAGGGCTCCCTAAGGAGCTCTGGTGCCCAGGGCAGCCTCCTAGAAACTGGGTTTGGGACCTGGCGGGCACTGTGGAGCGGTGCAGCCAGCCACGATGCCAAGCACACTGCTCCTTCTGAGCTATGGGACCCTGTCTACCCCTTTGCCCCTCTCAGCCTCAGTTTCCTCATTGGCAAATGAGGATAATTAGCTGGGCATGGTGGATTCCATGATTCCATGCCTATAATCCCAGCACTTGGGAGGCGGTAGCAGGAGGCTCACAGCAAGTTCAAGGCCCCCTGGACTACCTAGCAAGACCCTGTCTCAAAAAGGGGGAGGGGTAATTTCAGAGAGTGAGATAACTGTAGTGAAACTAACAATGCCTAAGCTATACTAGCTCTCAGAACCCCACCTCTGGCCTTGATGTCCCCTACTTTATCCCTTGCCATGGCACCCAAATGCACGTGGTAAAGGTGCACTTTGTGAAGGTAGGAATCATCTAGATATTTGCCCTTACTGTGCCCAAGTCATATTGGTATCTGCAAATACAAAGTCGAGGCTCTCCCTGCCCTCCTTCAGGCTGGATCCCAGTGCAGGCTCAACCCAGGCCTCCCTGGCTTCCCTGACACACTCAAACCCAGAGCATGAACAGAAAGGGTATCCACCTCTTAGCTTCAGGTCTGTCTCAAAACCCTAGGAAGCAAGTGAACAGGGACTCTGCTTCCAAGTGGCGCATCCTGTCCACCAGCCACCCACCTGCTGCCCAACCTTCAGCAGCCACCTTGTGGGACTGCGCTGGAAGAAAGTCAAGCTACTCTTTTCCCATGGACCTCTTTAAAGAGCAGACGATCTGGGACAGAAAGAAAGGCAACTGACCAGTGGTTCTGGAAAGTAGAAAGTTCAGGGAGAAGACCTGTTCTCCTTTTGACTAGAGAAGATTGTTCCTCTTGGGGTGGCCCCGCAATCCCCCAAAGGGTTAACAAGGTCCTAAAAATAACCTGCTCCCAGCAGGACCCGCTGATCAGAACCCTCCAGCCATCTGTTCCCATTTTCTCCTGTTCATACTGGAACATCTGAAACCAGCCCCAGAGCCCCAGCCCAATCCCAAAAATAGCCCCAGCCTGCCCAAGGAATAGGCTCCAGAGGCTGGGCACGGAAGGCCTGGTCTGCCCAGCAGTGAGGTACAGCCCAGGCGGACAGTGCCCCCTCATGTCCCAGGCCCATGGCAGGGAACGTCCTCTCTGTCCCAGAAAGGTGGGGAGCAGAGCCAGGGGCTCTGACCCATGGCACCCCTTGTACAGGGTCAGAGAGGGCATCTCTCTTGGGCTCAGGAGCCCTGGTACCCAGATACTTCTACCACTTCCTAATCCTCAGAAGATCAGAACACCTGTCGGTCGGCTGCAGGTACACCCCAAACTGCAGTGTGCTAGGGACTCCCCAGCCCTCCCACCACGCCGCTCCCTTCCCAGTGGCACTTGCAGGCTCCCTGACCCAGGAGACACAAGGCTAAAACTGGACTCCACAGCACTGCCCACACTCAGCCCTACAGCCCCAGGAAAGGTTCCGGGGTGCCTTCTGGACACCAGAGACACTGACATGACTGCTCTGCATCCAGCTCAGCGTGGTCCCTCCCTCCCCAAAGTGCTGGGCATGCCCAGCTGGGCTTCTCCACATAGCACAGGCCCAGGTACTGCCCCTCCACACTTGGGGAACTGCCCAGGTGGGCAATCCAGAGGACCTGAGACCTGAGGCACCTAATAGCTGCCATCTATACCACAGCCCTGCAAAGCCACCTTTCTTCTCAATGAAGGTCCCTGACCCCTAGGTCAGGAAGAAGAGGGGGCCATCAAACTGCGAATGGTGCAGCAATGGAGTGGAGGTGAGAGGGGGGGCCGAGACTGAAGGGGCAAATGGCCCAGGAGGGGGTGTGTGCCTGTGCCTGGGGAGATAGGGAGGGAGATGTACCCTCAGCTCCCTAGACCCACAGCTATCTATTTAGAAAACTTGCAATCAAGTGTCAGCTGACACTAGCAGTAGGGAAACTGAGGCAGCAAAAGGGGGATCTGGAAAAACATTAGAATCCAGGAGTGTAAAGTGCCTCTTTTCCATACCCACAATTCCTCCACTGCTACCAAGTGCTACCCTTCCTAAAGGCCCTGGGAGGGCTGGAGCTCCTAAGAACTCCAACTAATGACAGAGAAGAAGGTCTCTACCACATATTGAGCATTTACTTAAACTCTTCATGATATTTTCTAATTTAATCTCCAAACCAACTCTACTAAAAAGCACTTTGATTTATGTATTTATTTTAAGCCAGGGTCTCTCTCTCTCTCTGTGTTACCAAGGCTGGCCTTAACCCCTGGGCTCAATCGTCCTGCTTCAGCCTCCAGAATAGTTGGAACTACAAACATGCACTGCCATGGGCAGCCTTGGGAATTACTTTTATTATTCCCACTCTACAGGTAAGAAAAGGAACAGGGGAGTTAAGTAACCTGCCCAAGACACACAGCCCATAGTCAGAAGAGCCAGGATTTGAACCCAGACAGTCCAGCAGTTGGGATCTCAATCCTTGCACAATGCAGATGGGCCATGATCTTAGCCCTGCTATGACGAAAGAATGTCTGGGCCTCACACCCTTAACCCCCATGCCCTCCCTCAGTGCCTGATGGGTACCACAGTCTGCACTGGAGGCCATGGTTCCTGCCTGGAAGAGATCAAAGAGAGAGCGCCGCTCCCAACCCCCTCTACACAGGTGCTTTGCCTGGCCTGAGCTCCAGAGAGCAAAGTTCTAGGGCCTCCCCGCACTCCACCACCCAGGCCCAATCCTTTACCTTCTCACCCATCCAGGTCCCTAACAGTCCATAAGGTCACAAGGCAAGTTTCCAGGACTACAGCACAGAACCCTTGCTGAGAGATGCCCTTGGCTAGAGAGGAGCTGGCTACCCTCTCACCCCCAGATGGGGGTCAAAGGTCAAGTGGGACTTGCCAGGGAAGGGTGGAGTCCAATCCCTGCTCCCCACCCACCTGCACACCACTATTTTCACTGTGGAGGTGAAAGTTGGTCCACTTCCTCCTGGGACCTGAGGGGGCAGACACCTCCAGTGGGGAGGGTGGGGACAGCAGATGAAGGGACTAAAAGCCCCTCCCTCTGGGACAGCCCAGGAGAGGCACCACCTCCTCCCTGTCCCTGGCTTCCTCCAGCTTTCTCTAGTCAGACAGGAGCCCACAGGAGTGTTTGTTGTGAATTCAGGGAGTTGTTGCTAAGTAAAGAAGAAGGGGAGGGAGGGAGGCTATGTGTTTGTGTGTGTGTGTGTGTGTGCGCGCGCGTGTGTGCGCGTGTGCCCCATCTACGGGGCCAGAGCAGCAAAGAACCACACTACCATGGCTGGTAGCCACTCTGGCTTTGACTCAGCCAGTAGAGGCCAAAGCCATTAATGGTACAACCAAGAAATCTACTCACCTTCCAGGGCCAGCAACTGGGCTCAACCTCCCCAGCTCCCACCCAGGGAAAGATCCAGTTTAGAAAATGGCTTTAACCCTCTCTGTGCCAGTTCCAGTTCACTCCCTCCCGGGACTCCAAATTGAAGGCTGTCTGTACCCCAGGAGATAGAGGAGGCCTCCCTCCTCTAGGAGGAGGGAGTGCAAGGAGAAGTGGGGGCAGAAAGCCAGGAGGAGGGGCCAAAAGACAAAAGCCAGGCAGGAGGCTAAGCCAGGATGATGCAGCCATGGCCACTGCAGACAGAGATCAGGGAGGCTCAGAAGGACACACAGGAGCACATGGACCGCTCACCTCTGGAATAGTGTGTGCTGGGCTCGGGCTCAAGGGTGTGGTCTGGGATGGGGGCTCCCTGTGGAGAGAGGGTCACAGCTAGAAGCTCCAGGCCAGCACTCTCCGCCCCTCCCCTCCCAGAGCCGTCCCCCCCCCCAACCAAACAAGTACACACGCGCACAGTCTGCAACTCCAGGAAGTGTCTGGACTGCCCCCCTCCCCAGGACTTCTGTGGACTGGCTGGGAGCCAGGCCTGACCCAGCTGCCCCACAACGCCACTCCCCCTCCTGGAAGAGGAAAGGAGAAGGCACTGGAAGCCTGCAGAGTTCCCTGAGATCTTGGCCTCACAGGGAGAGAGGAGGGGCAACTCCCACGACCTGACCTGGCCTGAGGACCTGGGGGAGGGCACGGACCTGGGGGAGGGTGCGCATGGAAGGCAGAGGATCCCAGCTTCCAGCGGCAGTCACCCTCAGGTTATCCTATCAGGGAGAAGAATGGCTGTGAATCCTGTGTTCCTGGGCGGTCTTGCTGGCTGCGGCCCTCTCCCAGGAAATACAAAGTCTGGGTGGGAGGGTCCTAGGGTGCACTTCAGTATTTCAGGAGAGGGGGCTGCATGAAGCTCCCACAGCAGGCAGAGGGAGGCTGGTGGCTGGGCTGAGTTTGTACTGGGGGTCAAAGGGGAGTTCTTTTCCGAAGAATTCTGGGAGAGGCGCCAACTAGAGCAAGCTGCTAACCACCCCTCCCTCTCTCTCACTGCACTGGGGGGGGGGCTGTCCCTGCCAACCAGACTTAACCCTCTCTAGCCTGTGTAGCTTCCTAGCCCAGGACAGGGTCTTTGGGAGGGGTCCTCTGCCTGAGCACCACTTCCAAAGCTAGGGGGTGGGTGGTACAAGGCACCCACCTGAATGCAAGTGGCTTCACAGGGCCCCATCTGGCACCACCCTACCCTACCACCGCCTGGTGACTTTTCAGGGCTCATCTCCTGAAGGTGTCTGCAGTGACGTGTGTGTACGTGTCTCAGAGACCGAGATTGAGAAATAAACTGAAAACTCCTTGCCAAGGCCCTCCCCCTGCTGGGTCACTGAGCGCTGTACCAACCTGTGCCTCCAGCCCTCCCTCCTTCCCACTGTGCCTGGTGAGAGCAGAGGCCACTGGCATGAGGGGTAAGAGACTGCCTATCCTCAGGTCCACCTCCTGCACTCATACCACAGCCCCTTACTCAGCCCTCTTGTTTCTCTCGGACTTGCCACATGTACTCCTACAGGAAAGCATTCAATTATAGCCTGAGATCCCAGGAAGGGAAACTGAGCCATGGAACGGTAGCAGCGCTTCTAGGGCCTGAATCCCAAACCAACTTAAGTCCACAATCACTGGCAGATGCAAGGGCCTCAGTTCAATCCCTGGTTCCGCAAAAAAACAAAAACAAACAAACAAACAAACAAAAAAAAAAAACACTGGCTAACTGGTAGGTAACGAGTGAGATTAAATCTCAGGAAGGATTTCCCTGGATCATGCTTGAACTCCAGGCCCTTCTGTCTTCTCCTCCACAGAAAATGTGTCTTGTTCTACTATTCACCCTTACCAAAGCAGTCAACTTTTCTGAATCTTCAGTGCCAACAAACACCCAGATGCAATGTGACTGGCTGTTCCTTGTCCCCAATGAAACAAGTGACTGCAGCCCATTCCTTCCCTGAACCTTCCTTAGCAGCCACCACTCTACCCTCAGGACTAGAAGACAGGCTGGTGGTGCAGGACCCCTCAGGTGCAGAGTAGTCACTGTGAGAGGCGGAGCATCGGGCCCACCTTCAGAGAATGTTTATCCCAAAGTGTCCCCACTCTGCCACTCTCTCTCCAAGGACCACAGAGCTGCCAGAAGCCTAGGCCTTGCTCCAGGAAACCTCCCTATCAAAGAGCAGAGGACTCCACGTCCCAGGCCGCAGGAGACCTGTGACTACACACCCCAGATATGTTCCCAGGGAGCAGGAGGAGGCGGGGAGAGACACAAAGTGCATGCGTGTACTCGCATGCGCATACACACACATGCACGCACCATGAGACACACCCCCGGCACACTCCTCTGAGACGCTCCACCACATGTGGCTGTGAGACAGACAACATTCAAGGTAACTCCATGACTACTAACTCTAAGCAGGGGCTGGATAAGACCCCTAGAGTCTTTTTTTTTTTTTTTTGAAACCTAGAGTCTTGCATAGTAAGAGCCAGCCCAGGAGAGCCTGGGACTGTCCACATCAGCCAGGCACACAAAACCACCACCTGATGAATACACTCACTCGGGGACGCCCCTCCATATGCACACGCATAGTACCTGGCCATGTGCTAGCACACAAACTCAAACACACCACCTCCAAGTACACAAGTGAAGTCAGATTAGAGGACAATGTCCCTCTCCTAGTAGGGAGGGAAGCTAGAGGGGGTGGAGAAGCTCTCAGGGATTTCAAAACAATCCTGGTTTCGAAATGCTGGAAATGCTGGATTCAGGGCCATTCCCAGTTAGGGGTGGGGGAGGGACAGGACAGGCCAGAGCAACCAGCCGGGTGGAAGGAAGAGGGGCTGATGAGGGAGTCCCAGCCTATGGGGAAGGGGGCCCAGAAAGAAGTGCCAAGCTTAGGAGGGACAGCCAGCCCAGAGCCAAGTAGGCAGGGCTGCTGGAAGGAGGGCAAGGAAGGAAAGGCTTTGGCTTTCGCACTGATAGGAAAAGTGAACGGGCAGGAGAAAGCCTCCATATCTCCTCAGCTCTGAGGAAGGTGAACCTACCTGTGCCTTTTCCCACTAACAGGCAGTGGTGAGCCCTTCTTTCCCTCAGAGTACTATCCTGGGTCTGGCTCCTTGACAACTAGCAGAGCCCTGAGCTAAGGGATCAGAGGGGTGGGAAAGAACAAAAACCCTTGGAGTCTGGGGTCTTCTAGGAATCCCCACTCAGAATGGAGTGAGCAAACAACCCTCCAGAACCAAGCCCCTGCCTCCCCTCCAGGAAGAGGGGGAGCCTAGGGGTAACTGAGGCAATACCACATACCCCTACACTCAGGAAGTCACCCCTCCAAGGCAGCTAGAATGCCCTTACTTCCCCCTTCCTACCCCCGACCCCTCCATCCCTCACCAAGGATGGCCAAGAGCACACCCAGGGAGGAATGGGAGGGGAGGCCAGGCCAGGCCAGGCCAGGCTAGAGGTGGGGCACTGGAGGCCTGGCCCTGGCACCCAGCAGAAGAGATGCCAAGCTGCCCTTCAGGACTGCCCATCCAAGTGGTATGCAGCAGTGTGGCGCTCCAGGGATGTGGCCTTCTTCACTCAGTCCCTCAGCTCCTGGCCCTGGTCACCCAGCCCTACAGCTCTAGTTCTGGGAATTCAAAAAAGGGACTTGGGGAACTCAGCGCCACAGAGAAGTGATCTTGAGCCCTGGCAGGAGTCCCCACCTGTTCCTTCAGGCCAATCTGAGCCTCTTTCCCCAGATCTTGGAAGTAAAGCCCCCTACCCAGTGTGGATATGGTGGGCAGCTGTTGGGGCTGAAGGCAGGGGCACAAATGCCAAGCTAGAGCAGCCAGGTGCTCAACAGGTTGAGCCAGTCCCTGGAACAGTGGCCCCACCCGAGGGAGAGCGGACTTGGCAGAAGCTCCCTGCCCACGGCACCTAGCCTGTACCCGCTTCGCTCCCACGGCTGCCCACTTTCCCACGGTGCCATACCCCCTCTGTCCCCTCCACCCAGGTCAACACCTGGACAGTGCCCAGGGCTCTGCTACAAGGAAGCAAAGGATGCCATTTCTCTTTCACCCTCGGGTGCCCAGGCTCTTGAGGTACCTATCTGCCACCAAAGAGGCCCAGGAAGAATAATAGTGACATCAGGGCAGCAGAAACTCCAAAGTGCTCCTACCTCCTTGCGGGCCTCTTTTGATCCTGGGAAAACTGGACACAGACACCCTGGCTCCCTGGAGCTGCCCTTAGGCACGGGGACAGAACTTCAGCCTGCGGTGCTGGCGCCAGAGGCAGTATGGAGGCGCCCCCAGCTTCTCCTCTTAGACTCCCTGGAGGAGAGGCTGCAGGTCTGGGTGACTGTTGGTTCCCTCCAGTCTTTCAAGAACTGCTGCCACTCACAATCCCATTGCTTTCCTCTCCCCATGCTCCTGGGCTCCCTGGAGCTCCATCCCAGCCACGAGTTAGCACACAGACAGGCAGCCCCCCTCTGCACAGCATCTCTTTTAATCTAAAGCAGGTGCCAGGCATTCCAGCCCTTGCTGAGTCGACACTGCCACCCGCTAGGCCTCTGCCCAGAAGGCGACTGCCCTGCCTGGTTAAAGAAGCTCACCCCCAGCCCAGGCTCCTGCTTAAGCCAGCTACCTGGAATCCATAGTGGAGTCATGGGTGCCCAGTGCATTTTCAACAAGCAAGATCAGTAGGTCCCAAATTACCAATGATAGGCTACCCCCAGATCTCTGCGGCCCACCAATCATTCTCTAGGACCCTATAATCATCTGCTCCTTCCTGGACTCTCCACTCCAGCATATACTCATTCTGAGCCTCCAGAACCCATCTCCAGCTAGAGATCCTACACAAGAATCACTCTGGATGCAACATGATATTCTAGCCCTCACCCTTCCCAACAAGAAGCCCCAGCTCACCTCAGTGAAGAGCAACACAGCAGAGAAGCCCCTAGAGGGAGACAGACAGGACACTGGCCTTCCTAGCCTGGTCCTCTGAAGCCAAGGAGGCAGATGGGGGTAGGGGCGGTGCTTACCGTATCCTGGCCTCCCTTGCTGACCCTCACCTTCCACTCTCCCCCAGTCCTAAGGCTTCTGTCAGCAGGGGCCCAGAGCTGACACCAGGAAGACAAGGCCTGTGCATGCTCATCCCCTGGGGCCATGAAATCATGGTCCTGACCCAGAGAAGGCAGCCAACCCTGTGCTGGGAGCAGTAGAGGAACCCCTGCCTCAGGAAGTAGCTGTCCCCTAGAGAGGCTAAGGAGAGGGGGAGAATGGACACGCGCCCGCCCATCGGGTCTCCTTCAGAAAAGGCACCTGAGGTACAGAGAGTACAGACAGCTCTCCCAAGTGAGGCAGTACCCAAAGCTGGGAGGAAGGAAGGGCGGCAAAAGATCAGGGGGCAGTGGAGCTCCTTTCCCAGGGCTCAGTCAAGGGCCCAGCTCACCTCTTCCAGAGCACTTTTCCTCTGCAGGGAGCCCTCCTCCCCTGGGGGACCCAGACACAAACCCCAAGCAGCAGACAGATAGGAGGAGGAGGGAGGCAGGGGGTGTCAGAAAAACCCGGAAGGAAGGAAGCCGGACAGACAGACAGAAAGAAGCTTACATTGATTTCACTACTCCAGAGACACCCTCCAGACTCCCAGACTTTTAGGGATGTTCTCCTTCCCGGCCCCCAAAAGGAAGAGGGGGAGAACAGACTTCTCTCTCTTCTAAAACCAAATTCCAGTAGCCCTGGGGTAGGACATACCCCAGGAAGACAGGAGGCCCAAGTCTCACTTCTCTTCCTCACATACTTCGCACAAGGGTTCCTCGGGACCAAGAGAGGGGCCACCTCCCCTCCCGCAGGGACACCTCCAAGGAACTGTGAGGCTGCCCCACCCCCAGCCAAGCCCACAACACTCGGAATCCTCGGCGGGGGAGGCTCCTCCACTCAGACTCCTCCTGCTCAAAAGCAGCGCCTGCGGGCAGAAGTGAACCCAGCTCTCCCCAGTCCCTATCCACCTCCTCCTCCTGGAGATCCTATCAGCCGAGGAAGGAGTGCTGGGGTACTGGCACCCACTGTTCTGGTGAGCCTGGGAGGGGGACTACATCTCCCAGAAGCCCCCAGGGCAGGGTTCGCTGCTCCAGCTGGCCCAAGGCCGGCCTTGTTCTCTACGCTAGGGTGGCAGGGTCCCCCGGCTGCCCCTAAGCCCTTCTGCCCGTGCTCTAGGGCTGCCAACCAAGCTGGGGGTCTAAGCATAGTCTCCCTTGACCCTGCGGGCATCGCCGGCTCCTTAAACAGCCTGGGGGTATGTGCCAGAGGGCAAGAGACAATCAGAACGTGTTTCCCCTCCCCAATTCAAACTGGATCTCCCTTCTCCAGCTCCTGCTGACCTGACATGACTTTCGCCCTCGCCCCCAGCCCACCCCTCACCTCGCACAGGCCGGGGGTCCTCACGCCAGGCCGGAGCTGGACGCCATGACCAGGTCAGGGTCGGAGGGTGGGTTGGGGTCCTCCTGCTCTTCAGCTGGAGGTGCGGAGAAGGCGGGCAGGCGGTGATCTTTTGATCCTGGAAGCCTTGATCTCAACACCAGCCCGGCCAGGAAGAGGGTATCCGGGGATTGCTGGGCGCCTGGGTTCCTGCCTCCCCACAGTGGAGCATGGTCGTGGGCGCCGAGCCGCGGCGGGAGAGCGCGCGCACTCCCCGAGGCCGGAGCTCGGGGCTGGGGTCTCGGCCCCGGACCGCACGGCTCGGGCTCCCGCTCCTCCTCCCTTCCTTCCTTCCTTCCTTCGCCTCCTCCTTTCACTTTCCCCGAGGCCCGCGGGGACGGCGGGCGCGGGGCGGGAGGAGGCTGTTGGGCGCTTATTGTCGCTCGGACGCCGAGGGTCCGGGTCGCAGCCCCCGCGCGGCGCGGCGCCGGGGGACCCAGGCGTGCTGGCGTCCGGCCGGCTGGCTCCGGGCGGCGGCGGTGGTGCAGCGGCCCCGGGTCCGGGGCATGTCCAGCCACTGGCTCCGCCGCGCGCCGCCGCCTCCCCGGACTCCCCTGCACTGCCGGAGCCTCGCGCGCCCCTCCACTCGGCTCCTCTCCCCAGCCTGAATAAGCATCGGGGCTCTCTGGCTGCCTCCTTCTGCCTTCATACCAGAGCCCGGAGAGGCCCCTGTCAAAATAAGAGCTCCCCCATCTCGCTCGACTCCTCGCCCAACCCGGCTCCCCCAGCCTCCCAGTGGTCTGACTCGGTAAGGCGCCCGACCGGCCGGTGGGAGGCAGGTTGGCCCGGGGGCGGGGAGGGAAGCTTCTATCCTGCTCTCTTCCCCATTCCTGAGGACTAGGGAGGAGGTGCGCCAGCAGCATCACAGGCTGGAGAAGTCTGACAAACCTACTCTCCTATCTGCAGGGATTGGAAGGAATGACAGTCACACACACACACACACACACACACACACACACACACATCTCGCACACCACGCTGAGTCCTCTCTTCATTGTAACCACCCACATCCATTATGCACCGAGCATGTCTTTATTCATCTTCTTCTAATAGACCACGAGGCCCTTCAGGACACAGACAGAATTTTTTTCATCTGAATCCTCAGCAGCTCCAGGGGATGCTAAAAATTATTTATGGGAGTGAAACCTTTGTCTTCTCAAAAGAACTCTCTCCTAACCTTAAAACCTACACACACACACACACACACACACACACACACACACTGCTCTTTAGGCTGTAGATACATTGAGAAATAAATAGTAAAAAATATTTTTTAAAGCATTTCACGTGTTATTTCAACGTTTCCCACAAACCCAGAAGAAAGCTGCTATGGTCCCCTTATACAGGTGAAGAGACTGAGGCTTGCATTACCTAAGGCACACTCGGGTTACATGGCTAAAATGCTAAACCCAGGATCCAATTTGATCTCCTCTGCCAGGACCCATTCCTTCTATATTACAGGGCCAGGAAGATGGCTCAGTAGAATAAGTGCTTGCCTGGCAAGCACAAGGGCCTGAGTTCAATCACTGGTTCTGCCAAAACAAAACAACAACAACAAAAAACTTCTATATTACAAGCAATGAGCATTAACTACTTTGGCAAAGAAAGACTCCTTGTTTCCCGTACCTGCCAGGGAAGCGCTTATTCTACTGAGCCATCTCCCCAGCCCTGGTCTTTTTCTTTCACTTTTTTTTTTTTTTTTTTTTTTTGGTGGAACTAGGGATTGAACTCAGGCCCTTGCGCATGCCAGGGAAGCGCTTATTCTACTGACCCATCTCCCTGCCCCCCCCCCACTTACCCCTTCTGTACAACCACCTCCATGCTCTTTTACATGTTTTGTCTGGTTTCACCAGTGAATGTATCTGATGAACCCCAAAAGATTCCTGAGGGCCAGCCCATGCGCCTGCCATCTGTGTTTCCCACAAGATGGATTTGGGAGCTGGCCGTGTTCATAGAAGGCCTTCAGTCAATGCTGACTTGATGGCTTGAATGTTCCAGGAACTGGGCACTGGGCAAGAGGGGTAAGTAAAGGTGACATCACAGAAAGCCGATAACACTGTCTCTGTGTGTGCCCAACACATCACAATTTACAAAGCACTCCATACATGTCCTCTCTTTAGAGAGCTTTACTTGAAGCAACAAACTTTCCCAAGTGCTGTTACCTGCTAACTGCTGAGCCACACCCTTGTGAGGTTAGACTCATCACAAGTCTATGCAATAGGTCTTATCTTCAGTTAAAGGGCAGGAAAATGAAGCCCAAAGAGGCTAAACTCTGTTGTGAAAGGATAGTGCTAAGACCTGTGGAAACAGGGTTTGATTTCTTCTCTCTCCAGAGGCCAAGGACTAGAATGGGCCCCAGGCACAAGGCACCCTTGGAGGCTGTTTGTTAGAAGGGTCCACTCCGATTAAGTGGGTGGAAACGTAGACATCAAGCCACAGGATGCCTTTGACACAAGCCGCATTCATAGTAGGGTCCAGGAAGAAAGTCTATAGGGGTGAGTGGTGGCTGGGTCAAAGGATCGCGACTGTGTCCCAGAGTAGAATTCAGGCGTGTTCCGTACGTCCTGTGGAGCGGCCCTGTAGCGCACTCCCCTGGGCGGGGCTGTGATTCATTCCAGCAGCAGAGGTTCCAGGTCGGGATGCCGAGCCTGAGCTCTGGGCAGAGCCACGAGTTCTGGGTGGAACCCTGAAGCCAGAGCCGAGGAAAGGAACTCGGCGAGCGGCCCGTTGCGGGAATCGAGTGGCTCCCTCTACTGGCAAAGTCGGGGAAGCACCTTGTGTTTTCGCGTATCTGTATGTCACTGTGTCACAGGGGTGTCATAGGGTTGTCACAGGTATGTCAGCGGGTGTCAGGGTCCGCATTTGTCGGTGGAAGTGCCTGCGTGGGCATGGATGTGTGAAGACAGATGTTTGTGTCATACTGTGGGTGTGCCAGCCCTTCTCGGGTTTTTTTCTGGAAACAGTACGTGCACACCACCACATCTTGTAATGCGATTTACTTCGAGGCTGGGTGGGGACGGCCCTAGGGTGCTTTTCACCCGAGATCACGGCATCCCTGTTTCTGGGGTGACATAGGACGAACGGATCTTCTAGCTGGTGCTCTTCACCAGCTCGTGCTTTAGCCAGAGAAGGTAGGAGCGGTTCTGGCCCGAGAGTTCCGGGGAAGGAATTCTATCCCCTGAAGCAGCTGGGACCCAGGAACGGGTTAACCTGGAGTCCCACAGTGACTTCAATCATTGGCTCAGGGCCCTGTCAGTCAGAGTTCTGGAGGCGGGCCTGCGAGGCCGCAGTTGGCTCGCCCAGCGCCCCTCACTTGCCCCTCGACCCCCCACATCATTTCACTGCTGCGCCCACACCCCCATCCTTGTGGAGATTCCTGCCCGGGGCCTGAGAAGGAGCGGATCTGGGCATCTTGGCTTCCCCACTCACTCCAGCTGCCTGGCTTACTGATAGATGGTGATTATTATATAATAGACTTGCTGGCCCGAACCGTGCCAACCCTGGGAACACTTTGCCCCCTCCTCGAAGCCTGCCCTAGGGCCTGGCACCTGCCGTACAGAGCCTGCAGCCCGGCTTTACCGGGCCTCCAGCACCGCCTCCGTCCCGGGGAGGGGGACCCCAGAGCTACCTTCCCCGATGGGGCTGGGCGGGAGCCGGGCGGGGAGTCGCGCCGGCGCCCCGCAGGTCTCCGGGTCGGCCTGCGGTGTGCGCCTCTACCAGCGCTGGGCTAAGATTGTGGAATCGTCCTGGCCCCCCTCCAACCTGAAGTTGGAACCCGGGAGGCAACAGAGGTGGGGCTGGGGGGGCGCAGGGGCCAGGGTCGGAAAGGGAAAGGAGTTTGGAAAAGGTGCGGGACCTGGAAACCTGAGGCTGGGAGAGGGGGCCGACAGGGGCAGAGGGGAGGGACTCTTATCCTGACAGGGCTCCCGCCTTCCCCGACTGGAGGGTTTGGAAAAACTGAGCAGGCAGCCAAGGCTTGGCTGGAAATCCTGCAGCCCACCCTCCTGGGGACACAAAGCTGGAGGGCGGGGGCAAGGCGAGAGAAGAGAGCGCGACCCCGGGGAGGGCAGGGCCTCTTTTGGGGCTGGGGGCCCAGGGGCCAAGCCCCTGGGGAGGGGGTTCCTGGCGCTGTCTCCCTGCAGTCCGCTTCCCCCTTCGCCGCCGCTCCCCTGCCTCTCCCCTCCTCCCTCGCCGGCTCCAGTCTTGCAGATTGCGGGCAGACTTAACTCCTTGCGTGCCATCCGGCGGACTCAGAGGTGGTGACGCTGCAAGGAAAGGAGGGAGGGGGGAAAGGAGGAACTCCAGACCCCACTCCCATCCCCAGTTTAACACCTTGTGGCCCGGAACGCAATCCCGGAACTTGTACTGATCAGAGCGCCGAAAGGCCCCGGAGGAGCGACACGCAAGGCCCGCTCCCCTGCCGGGTGTCTTTCTCCCCCTCCCTGCTTCCACGTTCTGCGCCTCTCCTGCCCTCTTCTACCCTCCCAGGCCTTCTAGACAGGTCAAGGCCCTGACGGATGGGGGAAGCCAGGAGGTTGGGCTCTGCAGCTCTCCTCTGTGTGAAGCCTCCGAGTTCGCCGCGCAGGTGACCACAGACTTTGCCTCCCTTGCAGCGGGAGGAGCTGTCACCTATCTCAGGGAAATGCTACTCCGCCCCAGCTAGAACCGAGCCCTGAGTCCCTGGAAACCCTGACTTAATCTTTATCCTAGCATCTTCCCTCCCTGGGCCGATTTGCCCAGTTTGCTGGAGATGACTGCCCCAGGAAGGCACTTCAGAGTCGGTAGGAAAGGGTTAACAGAGCCACAAACTCTACGTGGGAGCCAGGTGAGGCACCGCCCATCCTGGCCTCAGGTGCGAGGGGTGGGGGAGGAGGGACGCTGACCGCAAGGGGTGCTATTTTGCCCCCTGGTGGTTAGACCTGGCTTAGCAACCGCTGGCAAAAGTGTGTTCACGTAGGGGTTCTTGCAAGAACGTTGAAGACGGGGAAAGTGCTCCTGTAGGGAACAGCACCTTCTGAGGGGGAGAATCCCTCTAGGGGCAAAGAGGGAGCTCCAAGACCCCTGCCACGACGTCCCACTCAGTACGGTGCCTCAGCCTGTTCCAGATCCTCACCTTGGGTATTCTGCATATGAGTCCTGAGCACCTGGAGGAGGGTTGGAAGACAGCCGAAGGCTGGGGGCCTGTGTGTCCTCCCAGCATCTCTAACAGAGGGGCTCCATGGGAGAAGAGGGCTCTCCCCTTGCTCTCTGTGCTCCCGGCCTGCCCAGGCTGGTCTCTTTCCTTTTGTGTGTGTGTGTGTGTGGTACTGGGAATTGAACTCAGGACCTTGTGCTTGCCAGACAAGCGTTTATTCTACTGAGCTATCTCCCCGCCCCCAGGCTGGTCTCAAAATCACAACAATCCTCTGCCTTAACCTCCCAAGTGCTGGGATTTTAGGCGTGCGCCCAGCCCCTCTGAATAAATTGCTTGAGATTCTAGGAACTCACAGTCACTTCCCTCCAGCATGGCTGGAACCCCTCTTGCCACCTACTCAAGAAGCCCTCCTAAGTTAGCAAAGCCAATGAGCTAGAAGGGCCCCTCGAC